AGAGCCAAGCTTATGTGCTGGCACTTCTCAGGAAAAACTACAAGTCTCTCATAATTCTTGGGACATGGCATGAGCAAAGGAGAATGGGATTGCTTTTCTACTACTCTTTTTAACAGAAGACTGATTAACCTCCCAGGCTGTTCTCAGGGGGAAGACAATCTCCATCCCATTTGTACTCTCATCTGTTCTCCAGACTCATTTCTCTATGCCATGTTTCCTTGAAGAGCTGGAGTCTCCTCTGGTAGTTGATCCCACACTCCAAGACACACTAGTACTGCACTTAAATGTAACTCCTTTGGGGCACAAGGCATCTTTGTTGGTTTGATTTGCATATGTATCCTGTGGTGTGCACGTTATAATGTCAATTTCCCAGAGTTAAATGGCACACCCAAGATCAGAGATGGGCCCCGTATCTTGGTATCTTGAGATTCCTGTGTGTCCTGGTGTTTGGATTTCACCAAATACATCTAAATGTCTGGGAAAACAGAAGAACTATAAATTACAGTAGTCATTCTTAACCAGCAGCAAAATCCAGCTGAACTGACTAGTCTAGTCTCTCCCAGGACTAGAAAATAATTATACTCAACGGTGATTCATTTCATCAAATTCTTCTTTACTCACCAAGTCCATACACTTTGATATATGACTTTGAAGTCTCTTACAAGGAAGAAGAAGAAGAAGAAGAAGAAGAAGAAGAAGAAGAAGAAGAAGAAGAAGAAGAAGAAGAAGACAAATTGTAGCCAGCAATATGAAGTATAGCCAACAGCTTAATGATCCTAAGCCTAGATGCTAAGAAACTCAGATGCTGCCCATCATTGTCTTCTGCCTACACCATCAGTATGACAAGAGCATATCTAAGTGGACCCAATGCTCCCAGAAAATGAGAGTTACATGAAGAAGGACCTCCCCACTGAGATCCAGCCACCAAAGCCATGAGCAGAGTCCCTGCCATTAACAAAATGTTACAGGCTACCTGTGGGCTGATAATCTCTCTGTCTCAGTAGGGATTGGTACAGAAGGAGTCCCACCTACCCATCATGAAATCCCTATGTTGGGGAAGGAAGTTGGGACCTTCCAGTTATTCTCGACTTTAGAGATGAACAAAGTTTTACACACACACACACACACACACACACACACACACACACACACACACACATACACATATCTCAGGAGCTGTAAATGGGCTGCATGTCCTGCTTTTCCCCAAAAGTGCAATATATTGAAGTAATCACTGTTAGCTATCACCATCAATTCATAAAAGATAGAACATTTTAACACTAAAACTGAAAAGGAATATAATCCTAGAATATAAATATAGCGCAGTCATTTCTAAGCGAAGGCAATTGGCCATCCTCCTTATATGAACCATTTTCTTCCATTCTGTCACAGATCAATGAAAACTTGGTCACTAAATAGTTCTGTTCTGTGTGTTAACAACTTCCCTACATGCTTTATAGTAGAAACTGTCAGCAGAACATGAAGTCAATTACATAAATTTTAAGACTTAAATCTAGGTTCTGTTTGTTCTGTGACAACATAAAACCCTTTTCTCCATTGAGTTAGAAAGTAAAACTAAAGATAAATTTCTTTTCTCCTAGCTGAATGTCTGAAGGCAACATGGGTGACTACGGGAGTCACTGCTGAGCATGTGTAAGCAGTGTTTCTATCAGTATGTAAAGAACACAGGCTTCCTTAAGTTGAACCCAGTGACCTTTCTTGAATGAATTATTCAAAACAATCTACCCCATGAAAGAGACCATGCTAGTCTTCGTACATAAAAATAAAAATTGAAAAACTCTGGCCTTCCCAAAAAGAAAACACATAATTTTGATCACCTCAACTTACCTTCTCTACTGGCTACCAGGAGCCCCTCTGAGCAACCAGCACAGCCACCAAACCCCAGCTTCATGGGACATTTGAGCTGCACTCCACACCTGCCTGAGATACCATAAGCTACTTCCATGGTGGCAATAATATATATATATATATATATATATATATATATATCCACCAAGGTCTTCAGACCGTACAATATGAGAGAAGGCAGGGTGTCTCTGGAACCATCTCCAGGACAGATGGCCAGGTCACTCATGAGTGTTGACTGTGCTTTCTCTGAGCCATGAAGAGCCACTCCATGATCTGTTGAATATGTGGAGGCCTAAGAGAACAAAGTTTCCTCAAAGTGGAAAGTAGTTATAAGAGCCTACTTACCATTCGAAACTCTCAAGCACAGCATAGACACCAGATCCCAGGCTGCCTCTGGCCAATGACACCTATGCAATCATAGTAGGTGTCTGTTTCATCCAGAAACTTTGAAACTACTTTGTAACTCACTATTTCTTTCCTTTCCATCTGCCATGAAACCATCAGACTTTCCAATAGAAATAAAACTTCAGTCTGAGATCTAGATGTCTACCATTAACTCCCAACAATCATGAGACAGAAGTATAAAATAACCCTTAGTTGGTAGTAGCTGCCAAGTTTTTGGGTGCCTGGGTTCTCAGGTGCAACAAAGCCTATATATGCATGTGACTCACACAGTGGGGATGTCACAGTGGTCTTCTAGAAGTCAACAAAAATGACAGCACTGGAAGATGACAAACTTCTCTTAGCTGTGTTTCTACACCTGACCTCTGGGCAGGTGGAAGGCAGAGGTGACAGGTGAACCCACAGGTGCCTAAGACGTGGATCCTGCCCCGTTGAACATATCAAGAATTAGAAAAACATGTCATCCCTCTCTTGTGCAGTTCTGGGTTGTCAGATTATTACTAGGTGGAATCATTCAGCTACCACGACCCAGTACTGAGTACTGAGGGCTAATATTTGGGACTGGAAAGCCTGGGACCACATCCTAACTCTGAGACCTCATGTCTACCTTTGACCACTCCTCCACTGATACCTACTGTGGCAGGCACTGGGGTAAACAGGGCTGACCCTTAGCTTTCCAAACTTACGTTCATATACGAGAACAGACAATGAAGATTAAGATAAATACCAATCATATAAGGAAGCTATTTAAGAATGATGGAAGCCAAATTAACAGAGCTTGAATAAAATAGCCTTTGGAAAGAAATCAGGAAAGTGCCTCTCAGATGAGCAGATGAAAAGTAAGACTGTATCTGCCAAGTAAAGGGCTGGGGATAGACAGCAAAAGCAGGCAGCAGCATCACAAGGACAGGAGGCCTGAGCTAGAGAGGGGGGTGGCTCATATAAGAACATAAGAAAAGACAGAGCCCTGGGTAAGATGGACACAGACGGCTGACTCAAGGCTGGTGTAGGGAACTACTTGTCACCTGATCCTTGTACTTTAGAGAATTTTGTTTTGTTTAGTTTTGGTTTGATTTTTGAGTGTATGAAGAGAAGTAGGGGATAACAGCAGAGAAATGATGGGAATCTGACTGCATTAAAAGAGTCCCAGAATACTTTGTAAAGGATGAGTCACAAAGAGGACAGACTAGCAAAGTGGCTCCCAAGGCCTGGACTGGAAGTGCCATCACCTTTGTGACCTTCATAGATCCTGTCAACACTGTATCTCAGCTGTCTGCTGCCTGCCTGCAGTTCAGAGTGCACATGATTTTTGGGCTCCAGCAGGCTAGAGTAAAGGTACAGATAGCTTTTCTCAATTAGCACATTTTCCTGCTAAGCATTTCTGGTGCCTTTCCCAGAACTAGAGCCATGCCCAATACATGCCTGTGAAAGCCTTCCTCTGCCAGCTGCAAATCAATGTCAAGACACCAGAACTCTACACTAGCATGACAGCAGCCTCATCCCTCCAAGTGGATAGAATTGAGAGTACATCAAACTGGTCTAGAATAGGAGGGCAGTTTGTTACAAAGACAAACACACAGGAAATACAGACCAACCAACACTCTTTAATCCACTAGGAGACTTGACACTTGGGAAACATGCAGATATGGGTAATAACTGTGGCAGGGGAAGTTTGTTCTGACCAGAGATGTTCCAAGCTCTCTTAAACTGAGCTAAATGTTGGTTAGGGAAGGAAGGCTCGGGGAGAAAGACCAAGTTTCTGAGATTTGATGGTCTGGGCTAGACTTCTGTAATGTAAGAGTTCACATGAACACAGAGGAGATTCTCCTAGACCAGCCAGGCAATCAGTGAGCTCAGACAAGATCATCTGAACCAAACTAGAACTTCCCAGCCAACTCATACACACACATGAAGAAACAATAAAGGTCTAGTTGCTCCAAGGCACAGTGCCTTGAAAGGGTTTGTTGTGCAGTGATAGCTACCTGACACTGAGGGAACTCAAAGTCAATAGCTCTTGCTACTTCTCTTCAGGAAGTCTCTGGTGAAGCCACAGCCCTGTTTGTTTCCATTCTTGAAGCCCTTGCATATTCAGATCGCTCGACTGAGGCTATGGCCCCCAGAGAGTCCTTCTTGGTATTAAATTTACACATCATCTAGTACCTTTGAAAAACCACCTCCTGTCTTTGAGCCTTGGTTCCTTATCTGTAATGAAGGAATTGAAGGAATTCTAAAGAGCCTCCTTGTCTAATGCATTTGAGTGACTCTGAACTCTTCGTTCATCAGTCTGTCATCTGTCTAACCAAAAAGGATTTATTTCAGAGCCAGCAGCCTGCTGTGCTATGGCTATGGCTAAGAACAGAGTTGTAGAATGAAGCACAAGCAAGATGTTGGCCCTGCTCACCAGTAGCCTGGGACGCCAGGGGCTCACTGTCTCATGGGTACAAGGACAGAACCTTGTTGGTGACTTGACAACCAAGGAGGCTAAATGGTGACAGCAGTGGGTGGGACTCAAGCTCACAACTTTCCAGAAGACAGAGGGGATGCATGTCCAGTATGCCAGTGACACTGGACTTTAGGACCCTTGTCCAAGTGTTGGGAGCAGAATTGTGGCATCATGGAACCCAAAGTCCTCCACACCCCTGGTTGCAACCATGCTTCAAGACTTCTTCCATCTGAGGAAGAGCTGGACATGTGAACACCACCTGCCATGGGACCTATAAATGTACTACCATGAAACCAGGGAGCAATGGACTTGGTGTTCCTCTCAAAGCCAGCTCGGCGAGGCAGCTGTTCCTCCTTGAACCATCGCACGATGACTTCTCTGGAGAGTGGACGCAGGGGACGCTCCCAGGTCCTGCTGGGAAGAAAGACAGTAATGCAGGGGATGAATCAGAGAAGGGGAAGAGAAGAAAGAAAAGGGATAGGGAGGGAAAGGGGAGGAAGCTGAGTGGAAACAGATGACTCAGCAGGTAAAGTAACTTGCTGCAAAGTCAGACCATGTGAGTTTGATCCCAGGGACCCACATGCAGAGAATTGACTCTTCCAGGTTGTTTTCTGGTCTAGCGTGGGTATTATGTGTGTACATGTACATACAACAAATAAGTAAAGTTTTAAAGGCATAGAAGGGGGAGGCAGTTCTGACTATACTTCCTTATTCAGAAAACACATGAGAAATTCATTTCATAAAGATCAACTATTTCTGTATTCTAGAAAATTCTACCTCCAAAAATCAAAAGATAAGTGACAAACTGTGAAAAATTATTTGTCACAATTCTTCCCTAACTCAGGGAGTTCCTAGAGGTATATAAAGAGAACATGGATCACACAGGGAATGAAGGAACTGTACAACAAAGAGAAGGAAACACCATGGTCCAACAGCATATGGGAAATGCTTAGCCTGGCCCAAAAACATATGTGAGTATTTAAACCTACTCCAAGACATATTTTCTTACACAAAACAAGGTTGACAGCACCATGGGCCAGGCTAATGGCTGTGAAGTTGCAAACATTGGTGCTGGTCCTGCACAAGGTCAGTGAATTTCAAAAGCACACAGCTCTTAAGAAAGACCCTACTTGGGAGAGTATCTTTGCAGATTATGGGTTGCCCAATATGGATTGAATTTTCACAAGTTTATACACACAGGGTCTAGTTGGTGATTACAAAAATTTGAAATAGCAATGCCCACTGATTGTCTCTAATAACTAATAACAAATCCATGTAGTAGAACATGGGTAGCTTTTAAAGAAAGGAGGAGAAATAAGGTGGTTTGCATTTTTCTTTTCTTTTGTTTTGCTTTTTAACATTGGCAAGTGCACAGAGAAGCCCAGGGGTTGGGATGGGGTAAGGTAAGAATCTAAGAACAGTTTCTATGAAGGTGCTGTGAGGAGATGATATACAGGGAAGGAATCAGAGTTGTCTGTGAACACCACACCTTCTCATACCTTCTCGTTAGGGAATCATATATGATAAGGAAGGAAGGCAGGAAGTGTGGAGGGGGGATATGAAGGCACAGTTAGCTCTTGTTAGACTCCAGGAAAGCAGAGTGGGGGGACTATGAACAACTCCAAACTCCAATCAGAGTAAAAGTGGATAAACCACACTATCTGGGGGTGAACTGATTCCTGAACATTCTCTGGAGATGAAGGAGCCACAGATGCTTGATTCCCCAGCTCCCCTCCTCAGGGAAAAGGCTATGCTGCCAGGATGGATAGCTGAGGGGCCCTGAGATAGGAGGCTAAGTCTCAGGGCCAGCCCAGCCAGGCAGTCAGAACGTGGAGAGGCTCCAGGTGACCTTATGTCTTTGACTTTGCCAATCACAGGTTGTCACTAAAGTGTCCTTGGCAAACAGCCCCTCTAGGGACACAAATGTGTGCAAGGAACTCTTAATTTGCCCACACTAGTCTGCAACCCTGCTTTTCAAACTAGGTGTAAACCAGCTCCATCCACAGTTAGAAAAGGCTGTGGCCCTGGTCCCCAGCTACTGGGCTATACTTATCCCATCTTAGGTCTTTCATTGCAAGGTCTTGACCAAGACCAAGGAATCTAAAACTGAGGGAACATTTGGGGATTTGCATATGCAGATTTTTAGGGGAAAAAGATGTCAAGGATTACAAGAATCCTTACCCTCTGAAAGACTAACCCCCAGAACTGCAAAGTTGTTAGAAAGGTTCAGAGACCACCCTAATTCTGAATTCTGCCCCATTCCATAGATTGGAATGCTGAGGCCCAAGGATGCAAATGATCAACAAATAAGAGACAGAGCCTGGACTAGAACCCATGGAGTTTGCCTCATGGAATCACAGCCCATTCTAACACACCTGTCAGGTTCTGTAAGGGATGATTGTGAACTCGTGCACGGAAGTTGAGGGTAGAGTTTTGCCTCCTGCTCATGATTCTGGCCAAGTTCTTGGAACATGGTGCTCAGGCCAGCAACTGTGCCCTTCTGGATAGCTCGGAGTGAGTGACGCCGATACTCATCCCGGGCTCGCTGCGCACGACGGCTCCTCTCTTCATCAGCTGCCTTGGATCTGCGCACTGGAAAAGAGAACAGCATGGCTGGCCTTGACCCACAGCCCAAGCTATCCACGTGGAAAACATAGACAGCCCTGTACACAACTTACTTGGAATTCCATGATTTCTTGGGAAGACCACCCACAGCACCATAGACTACATAGCTCATGCAGAAGTGATAAGGCATGCCCAGCCTCCAAGATTGTGGGGGTACAAGGGTCTTTTATAACTGACACTCCATGGCTATAAAAGTCGAAGGCACTATCCTCTCTCCAGCTTTCTGCTTTCCATGTCCCTCAGTGGGGCTCTGGCACAGCCAAATATCCTTGAGAAAGTCACTGTGTGTGAGCACACACATGGGTGTGTGCATGAGTGCACACATGTGTCTGTATGTCTGTCTGTGTGCCTATGTATGACTGTGTGTATTTCTATGTATATTTGTATGTGTGCTTATGTGCATGTCCATGTGTATCTATGTATGTGTGTGTGCATGCATGTCTTTCTGTGCGTGTCTGTGCATGTCTGTATGTATATATGTATGTATGTGCATATATGTGTCTGTTTATGTCTGTGTGTATGTGCATGTTCATGCATATGTGTGTCTCTGCATCTGTGTATGTTTGTGTTCACATCTTTGTGCATGTGTCTGTCTGTCTGTCTGCCTGTGTGTCTGCATATGACTATGTCTACTTCTGTATATCTCTGCATGTGTGTATGTGCATATCCATGTGTATCTGTGTATATGTGTGTATGTCTCTGTGTGTGTGTATGTGTGTATTTATGTCTGTGCATATGTGTGTATGTGTATGTATGTGATCCTGTGGGGCGGGTTATGTGTATGTGTGTATGTGTCTCCTAAACTGGGGTTAAGAAAATGAAGACTGGCTCCCTGCTCCTCTCTGTTTCAGAGACAGCCTCATCTTCTTGTGAAGTTCCAGCCCCATGTCTGAGACAGGATGGTGAAGATCAGAGTGAACATATATGATCATACTGGGCTCCTGGTTACCAGGTCTGCCTTCATATCTGGTTGAGTGGATATTGTTGCCAATATGACCCCTTCACTGACCTTAACCACATGGTCTACATGTTCTAATATTACTTTACCATGTTCAATGACACAGTCAAGGTTGAGAATGGGAAGCTTGACATCAATGGGAAGGCCATCACCTTCTTCCAAGGGTAAAATCCTGCCAGCATCAAACGTGGTGATGATGGTGCTGAATATGAGGTAGAGTGTACTGGTGTTTCACCACCATGGAGAGGATAGGGCCTACTTGAAGGGTGGGGCCGAAAGGGGCATCATCTCTGACCCTTCTGCTGATGCCCCCATGTTTGTGAGTCTGTGAACCATGAGAAGTGTGACAACTCACTCAAGATTGCCAGCAATGCTTCCACACCACAACTGATTAGCCCTTTGACCGATGTCATCCATGACATCTTTGGCATTGTGGAAGGATTCATCACCATAGTCCATGCAATGCCTGCCACTGGAAGACTATGAAAGACCCCTCTGGGAAGCTGTGGTGTGATGATCATGGGGCTGCCAAGAATATCCTCCCTGCATTCACTGGTGCTGCCAAGGCTATGGGCAAGTCATCCCAGAGCTGAACAGGAAGCTCATAGGCATGGTCTTCCGTGTTCCTACCCACAATGTGTAGGCTTTGGATCTGACATGCCTCTTGAAGAAAAATGCCAAGTATGATGACATCAAGAAGGTGGTGAAGCAGGTATCCTAGGGCTCACTGAAGGGTATCCTGGGCTACACTAAGGACCAGGTTGTCTCCTGTGACTTTCACAGTGATGCCCACTCTTTGACTTTGATGATGGGGCTTCCATTGTGAAAACAACTTTGTAAAGCTCATTTCATAGTATGACAATGAATACAGCTACAGCAACAGGGTGGTGGACCTCATGGCCTACATGGCCTCCAAGGAGTAAGAATCTCTGGACCACCTATCCCAGCAAGGACACAAGAGCCTGCCTGTCCCAACTCAGTCCCCCACACTGAGCATCTCCCTCAGTTTCCATTCCAGACCTCATCATAACAGGAAGGGCTTAGGGAGCCCTACTCTCTTGAGTACCATCAATAGAGTTCACTGCATCCACATAAAAAGAAAAGAAATGAAGATTGAGCAAAGCCTACTGGAGTCAAGGGCTTCTGCCAGAACTGGTCCTCCTGGAGTCTGACCGCTTCCTGCCAGACCTCTACCTGCCTCTAAAATCTAACTGTTCTCATTAAAGTGCTCTGGAAGCTGGCCCTGGACTTCAAGTTGTGAAAGATTAATGATTACACTGGTCTTGCCAGACCACCTCACCCTCCAGGAAGGAAAATCTTACTCCGTCCATCCAATGTGGATCATAGGCTCCTACAACTTTCTAGAAACTGCACTTTGTCAGTATTTGGAGGACACAATTAAGTTGTTCTAGTCTGCAAAGAGTGTTTTGCCATAACAGATGATGAAGAGGCTTTTTGGAGAACATGGTTCTTTCAGATCCAAGCACATAGTCTGTGCCTTCAGAGGCATTTATAGAATGATGCCCTGCACAGAACATTTCCTGCATTCTGAGCTCCACAGGGGCAAATTCTTTGGCCTTCTCATTGCTGAACTCCAGTGTCTAGAACAGGGTTGGCAGACAGGATACCTTTCTAGGTGATAAGGGATTCCAGTATCCTGGGGCAATAACTCATGGGTAATGCACTTGCCATACAAGCATGAAGATGTGAGTTCCATCCTCAACACCCTGCAAAAGGTTGATATGGTGGCATGTGTGAGAAATACAGCTCTGGGGACACAGAAACAGAAGGGTCCCTGAAGCTCACTGGCCAGTCAGACTAGCTGATTCTGTGAGGCCCAGGTTCAAGGACAGGCCCTGTTTTAAAAAACAAAGTGGAAAATAGAAGACATTTAAAGTCAACCTCTGGCCTCAGCACATACATGTATGCGTGCACATATGCACACACCACACACCACACACACAGTCATGTATGCTCATTCATACACATACAAAAAATTAACAATTTTAAAAATCATTTTGTGGGCTGGAGAGATGGCTCAGCGGTTAAGAGCACTGGCTGTTCTTCCAGAGGTCTTGAGTTCAATTCCCACCAACCACATGGTGGCTCACAACCATCTGTAATGAGATCTGGTGCCCTCTTCTGGCCTGCAGGCCAGAATACTGTATACATAATAAATAAATAAATCTTTTTAAAAAATCATTTTGTGATTTGGCTCTGGGTTTGACTCTGGGCTGGATAGAGAGAAGACATGGAAGCAACCTTCCTTCCAATCACTCTGGCCAAGCTGGATAAAGGACAGATAAATGTCACCAACCTTAATGAAAAAGGTCAGCAACATCCTTAGAAGAGAAGGAGGAAGAAGAAGAGTGTGAGGAAGAGGAGGCAGGGGAAGAAGAACAAGTACAACAAGGACAAGAAGAATCAGAAGAATAAATGAATTACTGTGAGAGTTCAGGGCCCACCGTATTCATAAAGTACAGGGACCAGGACTGTCAAAGGAGAATCAGCCCGGGACTGTGCTGTGGAGGATGTGGTCTGTTCTCACCAAAACTCAAGTTGAGACTGGGGTCTTTAAGAGAGACTGGAGTCACCTTTGTAAGGCTGGATTGATTTTCTCAGGGATGGGTGAGGTCTTGGGAAACAAATGGCACAAACGAATCATCCCCCTTGTCCCTGCTCTGCCTCCTCTTGCTCTCGGGCAGAGAATAAATCTGCTTTCCTTGTGAATTACTGAGTCTTGTGAATTACAGTGGAAGGAAATGAACAAGGCAGTATGGAAAGATCAAGTACTTTCTAGAGAAATGGGAGAGGAGTTCATTCCAGGAAACAACTGTGGGCTTCAGAGACTCTGTAGGTCTCAGGGGCAAGAATTCTGTGAAGCCCGCTTGCACTGTGGGCAGAGAGCCAGACAAGGTCGGGGAAACCCAGGACCAACTTCATGGTCATTATGCAGTGAAGCACCCTGCCATACACCAACAAGTAACTTCGTAGCGTTTAGAGCTTCTAAGAGACAGGCACTAGAGACAGACAGACAGACGTGGGTTTTGCTCCTGAACCCTGTCTAGTGTGGAACAATATTAGTCCTTAGTTCTCTTCCCCTGAACAATAGACAGTGCCACCCTTAGTCTGAGGACTGCCACATTGCTGCACTATTCCAGAGTCACATCCCTGATGACACACAGGGCTCCCACTCAGTTCTCTAACACTGAGGAAACACAGAAGTATCTCTTTCCCCTCATGGCATAATCCGTGTAAGTGGTCACACAGCTCCAAAAATTCAAAGATGCAAGACTGAAGGGGTTTCACCACTTCACAGAACATGCTGGCCAGGTACAGTGACACACTCTGATACTTCTAGGACCCAAGAGGCTGAGCCAAGAGGTTGCAAGCTTCAGGACAGCATGAATATGTAAAGAGACCCTGTTTCAAAACCAAGAATGAATGAATGAATGAATGAGTGAATGGCATAGTCATACAAGTGATTTAGTTGTCTACTTGTGCCCCTTTTAAGTGCTGCACAGGGCTACCACTTAATACTATGCAAGCCACACTCTGTCCAACTCCAGAACACCCAGTTGTAGTGTTTGGCCCTCAGAAAGCTTATAGTCTAGTGGGGAAAGAGGCAACACTAAAAACAATAGAGCTGTAATGGGGTGTGCATTGGCCACCAGGACCCCAAGAGGGACATCACATCCAGACATGGATATTCTCTGGAAGAGGTAAGAGGTCTAAGCTAACGCCTATTGAAATCAAGGGACTCAACAGACAGTGGCCAGTGGAAGGGCATTCTTAGTAGAGTAGGTTCAGAGGCCAGAGGGGGTTAGCATCTCTCCTGGAACAGTGCAGCATCACTGCAAGGCATAAGTACCAGAAAAAGCTGCTTAGAAGACCTTAACTCCTGGCTTATGAGTTCTAATGATGTCCTGAAAGATAACTGGAAGCCACTAGAGGGCAGAGCTCTGTCTGCTCTCTAAAGAGACTGCTTAAACTGTGTAGTACTGGGAGG